ATATTAAATCCAAAAGATCCAGCCTTCAACAATAGATCCAGCCTTTATTTCTCTCCTATTTAATTTTTATCCCTGGCATTTTATAAAATCTCCTCCATAGAACAAAATGGGCACCTTTCACTTAACTGTACAAAACTTTGAAGAAAAGTATTTATCCATTTAAAAAACCCTTCTTAACCTGATTGTTACTCCAAAAGATTCCCAATGTTACTTACCATATCTTCCCCATACAGATATTTTCCCCCTCTGTCCTCCAAACACTTATTTTCTCTTGTACACACTTCTCCCACTCTCCTCTGGATTACCACTCTCTCTAGCACCCTCTACCTTCTGTAGCTAGGCAACACTCCCTAACTCCCCCACCAATCAGGCACCATTATCATATAAGGAGTGGGTTGTTCCCAGACTTTTTCTCCCAGGTCCTAGAAATTTTCCTACACAGTAGTCTGGCAAGGTAGGCCCTTTCTGCTACAGTGTTCATTCTCTAAAAGGATTTTGTGATAAAAAGGGATTGTTGGGAGTTGAAAAAGTTAGGAAAAGTTGAGAAGCAGTAACTCCTAGTAGGCAAACATTTCCTATTATTATCATTATTATTCCAAAGGTGGGATAGGCATGTATTATAGGTGCTTTGAGTGTGATTTTCTTGCCTGGAAGAAGAGGGTTGGACTGGATGGCCCCTGGGTCTTCCAGTGAAATAGCACTGTTAAGTTTATGTTGGTATAACTTGCCAGCAAATGAGAGTGTAGAGCAATCACAGATCTGTGCTTCCTTACAGTTGGACTGCAACTCCAGAGAGTTACTCACTAATGAATATCCTGATTGATTAGGGTCTTTGGCACTTGAAGTTCAGCAATGTCAGGAAGGTTACATTGGGAGTGTGGTTTTAGCCATTTCCTTCCTGCTTCTAGAGAGTCCTCAGGAACATGGACATTGTAACATTATCCTGAAGGTGGAGTGAATCAGCTCCATGGTGGCTGCATGACACACAGAGCTGATTCGATTTAGCAAAGTAAGGCCCAGGGGCTGGATACAGCTCTCCAAAGTCATTTACCCGACCCTCGCTCAAGGTCAACCTAAGTCTGAATGACTTGAAAACACACAACAACAACAACAACAACAACAACAACAACGATCCTATCTCATCAGCCAAAAGCAGGCCTACACTTCTCATTGAAATACTAATAAGTTTATATTTGTTAAAATTGTTCTTCATTTTAATTATTGTATTGTTTTAAAGTTTGTTTGTTTTTTTGCATTACAAATAAGATATGTGCAGTGTGCATAGGAATTCATTCATTTTTTTTTTCAAATTACAATCTGGCATTCCAATAGTTTGAGGGACTGTGACCTTGCCCTTTGTTTAAAATGTTTTAGGACCCCTGCTCTAGATAGTTCTTCAAACATAGATGCAATCCAGTATCCTAAACCTTTTCTTATAATATAAGGTCAAATTAGATATGCTGATCCCTCCAGGTCCGCAACCTCCAGATTCATAATTTCCACCAACCACGAATTATTGCACTTCATGTTAAATGGTGATGACATGAATGCAAGCATAGTGAATCATATATGTTTATATTGCCACCATGTAAAAACATGGGGCATGGTCACCCACATTTTCTCATATCCATGTGAGGCAGCCCTGGAACAGAATCTCTGCAGACAGAGCAGGCCCACTGTAAGTCTATCTTTCAACCTGTGTGCTAGATATGTTGCAAAATATAGTTGGGCTCCAAATTAAGGACATAATCACCAGTATCAACATGAAAGTAATCAAACACAAAGGTACTATCTTTAGTACAAAACAGTGTTCTTTTGAGTAAGGTAGTCCATGCCAGCATGGCAACCAATTAAAGTCATTCTCCTTCTGCAGTCAGAGTCTTAAAAGCCTAAGGGCAAGGTGGCCCTGAGTGGAGGTGAAGAACAGTCTCCCATTACATAAAGGCATTCTGACTCAGCTTCTAGCATAAATTTATTCTGTATTTGTTACCTGGCCTTGAAAAAGCAATATGCCAAGAAAGAATATTAACTACATATAGCCAGACTACTCAGTGCCAGAATAATCACATTTGTACTGTTTATTTATTTCCATAAACAGAATAAGAAAAATTCCCTTGGAACTGTAGTTTCATGATTAATATATATTTCTGAAAGCCTATTCATCTTCATTTCAAGCTATCCTCTCTTCACAAACAAATAGGCTTTTGCAAGTGCTTATTGTGATCCCCTTCAATGATCTGCAGTCAGATAATATTTTAAAGATTTCATAATGTCCCTGTTATCTTTATGTTTTTATTGTAGCAGAAGAAAATACAAAAAGCCACCTGTCTTTATAAAATATAAGATAATCTTATTCAAGGCTGTGAGTTTTGATATCTGATATTTTAACAATCAACAAAATAATGAAAATTTCCATTTCTCATTGTAAAAAGGAACTTGATTGCTTACTCAGTCTTTTTCTATCAACAGTTAGCAGAGTCTCCAATGTACAATCAATTCTCTCCTAGTAGCCCAGCTAAAGAAAGCAGGATTTTTCTCAAGCAATTGGACAGTGCAATTCAGAATGTTCCTTTCAGAGTGTCCTGTCCTCTTACCTTCTGACTTAAAGCAAATCAAGCCCAGTTCATCTCACATCATGCACCCATTCTCAAAAGTGTATTGCTAATATCATATTTCCATTGAACAGATGGAGTAGCCACTAAATGGCACTTCATTGATTTAGCCTCCCAAACTGAGAAGTAACATGACTGGCCAGCACTCTTTAAATGCCAAAAGGGCTTTTGCAGAGAGGAGTGGGAAGGTTTGTTCTCTGTTGTCCCAAGGAATGACTCAGTCTAATAGTTTTAAGTTATAGGATTGCAAATTTCAATTAAATGTTAGAAAGAACTTGACAGTAAGAGTGGTTTGGCAATGGAACCAACTGCCTAAAGAGGCAATGAGGTCTCCTTTTGATGAAAAAGAGACTGAACAGCTGCCTTACTAGAGATACCCAGTGTAGAGAACCTCCTACGCTGAGCAGGTAGTTGGACTCAAAAGTTCTATGAGGACACTTCCAACTCTGTGATTCTATGAAGCTCTTCTCTCACCTCCTGGACTTTTTGTGACATGTTTGCAACAGCCTTTTCTACAGTCTGATTGTTAGCAATCTAGTGAAAAGGCAAAAGAAGATGAGTGAAATAAATTTTCTCAGGTCTCTTGTCAACAGCCAGCATTTGAAACTATCTTAGTATGTGAATATGTTGGAATATAAATTCATTGTGTTTTCTACTAAACTCAAGGGGGAAATTGGGGGGGGGGAGGGAGAGAGAGAGAGAAGTGATGCCAAAAGGTGAGAGGTGCAGAGAGGATAATAGAGCAGTAAGAAAAGAGAATAGTATATTAATAACCCCTCACAGAAATACAGACATAAATTGAGATGAATTGTAGGATCCTGTGAGATACAACAGGGGGATTCAGCCTGGTAAGGGAAAAATTGAGGCAAGGAGCAACACCAAGTCCCAAACTGGGGGAAAGCCAGGCTACAATAGTAATAGTTATAGTAATAAAAAGTTACAGAAAATGAACACGTCCTCTGGGACTTCCGAATTCAGACAGATAGAATTCTGGAGCACAATACTCCTGACCTCATGATCATGTTAAAAAACAAAGTATGGATTATCGATGTTGCAATCCCAGGTGACAGCAGGATTGAAGAGAAACAACTGGAAAAGCTGACACGATATGAGGATTTAAAGATCGAACTGCAAAAACTCTGGCAGAAGCCAGTCAAGGTGGTCCCAGTGGTGATCAGCATACTGAGTGTAGTGCCTAAAGACCTTGACTTGCACTTAAACACAATTGGCGCTGACAAGATTACCATCTGCCAGTTGCAGAAGGCCACCTTACTGGGATCTGCACACATTATTTGCTGATACATCACACAGTCGTTGACACTTGGGAAGTGTCCGACGTGTGATCCAATACAACAGCCAGCAGAGTAATCTTGTCTGCTGTGGACTCATCTTGTTGTGTTTCAAATACTACTGCTACTACTACTACTACTACTACTAATAATAATAATAATAATAATAATATAAACATTTTGCTTTATTCATAGAGAGCAGTCAGTGGACAAAAGATTCTAGAATTTTAATCAAATCTATTTGTGGCTTTCATTTTTTCTAAATGAAAGGCCCATGGATTCGCCCCGCATCAGGGCGAATCTATGGGCTCCTGGCAGGGGGCATGGAAAAGCTGCCACTCCCTGCTCCACATTGTCTGCTTTACCTTCCTTCTTATCCCAGCTTCCCCCCTCCCCCATTAAAAGGAAGGCAACACGGAAAAGCTACCATGTTGCCACAGTGGCAGCAGATGCTGCTTCACCTCCCTTTTTCGCACGGAGCCCATCCGGAAGTTCTTTTACATTGTGTGAAGGGATCTGTGCCACAAAAAGGGAGGTGAAGCAATGTACAACAGGCAAATTGGCCCCTCTGATGAGGGGCTTAAGTAACAAGATGCATCTTTCTGTTCAATTTGCCACTTTCTTTGCCACTTCCTTTTCCATGACTTTTTACTTATTGCCTTAGGTTTACTAATAGTAGACTTGTAGCCTCATGTTGTGATCAGATTGAAAAATAATAATTAAATAATATTTGAAACAATTGGCACACCATTCCTAATATTTCTAAATATAAATTGCAGCAACCTAATCTTTGGAGGAAAGTAAATCTGCCAGGAAAAAAAAAGATAAATTGCACAGTCTTCATTTTATAAAATAATCCTCTTTAAGCAGTTGATTTTCTTTTAATTATGTTAATCCTTATTAAGAGACTATAATTCTGCTAGTAATGCACAGAAAAGCTGCATAGTAGACAAATGCATAAAAGAGCTTGTAGCTAGCATTAAAGTGGAAATATTATGCAAATGCATGTCAGTACAGTGCTTTCTTTGCCTTAGTAATCTTTATTTATTTGAACAGAATCAAACTGCATATTAATTATCTGTACCCTTTCTTATTTTAGGTCCTGAAGAAATAGAATTCAAATGTCCTCTGAACCATATGAAATGCATTGGCACAAACAGATGTATTCACTTGTCCCAACTCTGCAACGGCATTATTGACTGCCCTGATGGATATGATGAAGGTGTACATTGTCGGGGTAAGTGGCTTTGTTGGGGTTAAATGCCAATAAGTTTGTCAACATAATGCTTTTCTGCAGCAAGCCTGAAAACTTTTGCTTTCATGTCAGGGCTGTTGTTGGTTGGTTGTTACTTTTAGTGTTTGGATTTATTGTCAAGGATGCTTTAAATGCAATTTTCAGCACTTGTGACTTTTGCCAAAAAAGAATATGAGCATTCAGTTCCATTAGATACATTCCTTTCACAGAGATACTAATAAGAAGTGATGGACTTTGTGAATTTGGGGAATCTGATGATTGCAATGGTTTCACTTTATTACTGTCATTTATAAACTGCCTTCCTCCATCACATGCCATACCATACTGCAAGCATACTGAAGAACATACCTTTTACAGACTCAGTTAAAATTAATTTCCAAGATCCATCCTTTTTTGTTTGAACTTTTATCTAAAAAACTTGCCTTACACTAAACACTAATCCTTCATCATATTGTGTTGGTTATGTTTTTGCCACATTTAATACATTAAAACATAATTTTATGCCAACTCCATATGATTCACCAGTTCCTCTACATATCTCTTTGCTACATTTTGTTGATTTTCCCTCCTTTTCATTTCTTCTATTTTGTATTAGTTCAATCTTTATATTATTGGTGTATACTACCAAACCATGGTGAGCCTCCCATTCTATATTCATGAGTTCACTCCAATTTGACATCCTTTTCTTCAGAATCAACCAAAATCCAGCTTTCCTGTACCTCCACTTTCTTCTAGTTTTCCACATTAATAGTTGGTTAAATTCAGATATGAATGTAGATGTGATAAGTAGCATACATATTGATACATATTGATTACATACATTAAATAAAATTCAGCCCATATAGGAGATGCATGATCAAAGACATCACTTAAAACACATTGTGCCACATCTGGTTTTTTGGCATACTTGAAACAAGTGTTGAGTAATAGAAAGCACAAAGATATTTGAATTTCAAAGATTGCTTCCCATTGTTAGGAATTCAGTGATTATTTAGAATGTTTTATGTTAGTAGAAACTTATTATATGTAAAACATGTCTGCGTCCCAAATTATTTTTGGAGATGAAGGCAAGATTGTAGTCAAAGTAGGAATTGAGGAGTCACTAGATATTAGGTTGTGTCTATGGGAATTTGGGCTTTAATTAAATTCTTAAGTTAGCCATTGAGCTAATTTAAGATCTTCATGGTAGAAATTGGTATTCACATAATTATATTTTTAAATGCCTGGCATTTAATTAGCAGGTTTTTTAAAGTGTTTCTTGTTTTATTCATAGTTTTAAGTGAGATTTTCCCCACCAAAGAGTTTTGCTACTTGAATTATTAATCTAAAATATTATGAATTTGTAAATCAGCTAATTAATATGGCTGCTTATTTCATTCATATATATATATATATATATATATATATATATATATATATATATATATATATATCTTATCATGTCCTACCTTTCTTTTGGTACATGTTTAAAGGCAGCTCATGTCAATTAAAATGAAAGTAAGGTACAAATGTGCAAATATTCAAGAATTAAATGTAATTCATTTGGTTCATTTTGATGATATACATTGTTATCTGTCAGATGAGTGACAATGTACGTAAACTGACAGAACTGCCACTTGAATTTATCCATTCAAAGAAAAGAAAATTAGAACATCACATATGGCTATAAGAAAAGTAGTAGAGCTACTTGTAAGCAAAAGTTTTATATTCAAACTTTATTGTAGAAAACTCTGGTTTACCTAGCAATGCTATTTGTGTAAAAGAAAATTAATTCTTGCACAATCACCTTCTCTAGCTTTTTCTTAGAAAGCCAAATAGTTCTTAATGGAACTATTCAGCTGTACTGCATTTCTGTTGCACTCTCTTAGTATAGGATAGACATATCTGTCTACTTTTTTCTCTTTATTAGTAGAAATTTTTAAAATTGTAATCTGAGAATTATTCTGTGCCAAAACCGAAACTTTTAAATCAGAAAATTGCATTTTCTGAAAAGAAAAACAATTTTTCTCATCAGAAATCAACGTTTTCTGTGCATAACTGTTATTTGTGAAGATAAATGGTATTTTTCATGCAAACATCCCATTTTGTGTGTGTGAAACCTGTTTTTACTATTTTAGTCATAGTTTTAATGCTACAGGCTATCCTCTATATCTGCAGGGGATATATTTCTGAATATAATATGGAAACAAGAAAAGTTTTCCCTGACCTTTAAGTCCAGTCATGTTTGACTCTGGGGATTGGTGCTCATCTCCATTTCTAAGCTGAAGAGCCAGTATTGTGCGTAGATACCTCCAAGGTCATGTGGTCGGCATTAGTGCATGGAGCATCATTATCTTCCTGCCAGAGTGGTACCTATTAATCTACTCACATTTGCATGTTTTAGAACTGCTAGTTTGGCAGAAGCTGAGGTTAACAGTGGGAGCTCACGCCGCTCCCCAGGTTGGAACCTGCAATCTTTCTATCAGCAAGTTCAGCAGCTCAGTGCTTTAACCCACTGCACCACCGGGGGCTCCATTAAATTTAGTTAACTTTAAAATTAACAAATAATTTTCACTTTTTGAAATTAGAACATAATAGCTAGATTTTTACAAAATAATGAACATTTTAAGGTATCTAATTGAATTTTCTTGAATTACATCTAAAGTAATGTTACCTTCCAACATGAAAAGATCTTCCATAGGTTCTAGAATAGGTGTAACCCAGTTCTCCACAACTCAGGGTAGATGACAACATTTCTTTAGACAGTGTGAATGTTACTTCCATTTTAAAAGTGATAATTAAGACTGAAGCATGGGAACCTGGCTTGGCAACAAATAAATGGTATACACACATCAATTTGATACTCATGTGACTATAACGGGGGGAAAAAACTGCTGATCAGTATAATTCACAATTGATATGTATAACAATGAATTTATTAAAAGATACAGGATGTTGGATGCTCATTCAAGCTACAGATAATGGCTTTTGTTTGTCACTTTAAAAGCTTAGTGCCATGGAAATAAATACTCTGGTAGGATCTAGGGAATAGATGAGATTAAAACTCAAGGATATAAGTACATAAAAGGGATAGATCTAGCAGGATATTTTCCCCTAAAAATAGCTTGAAGTATAAAATAGAAACCAAGTCTTGTATCCTTCTATTTGTTATTGGACTGCATCTCCTATCAGCCTTAAATAGTATAGCCAGTGATGAAAAATGCTGGGAAGTGCAATCCAAGTATTTCTAAAAGTTTAATAGTTCACCTAAGTCTAATTGATATTCCCAGTTAAAGGAGTTCCAATTAATCTATGAAATGTATATAGATGTTGAATGTAGATAAAGAGCATATCTACACTAACCACTTACAACCTCATCACAAAGGCCTACTTGACCTGGCTTCGCAGCTGGACAGAGGGGGGTAGTGGGCCTTTCACACTAGGGGCCTCATTAGATGGGGCAATTTTAGTGCCCAGGGATACTTCCACCCTGGTTGGGGATGGGAACTCCTCTGAAAGTCACAGTGTCATGTGATAGACTGTGTGGGGCTCCATGCCCAAAACAGGGTGGAAGCATCCTAGAACACTAAAATTGGCCCATATATGAAGGGCCAGTCAATCAGTTCTGTGGCAGCTTTAATGATGCACAGAATTGATACACATTAACATAGCCTTGAGCCATGTTAACTAAAGTTGTGTGTTGCTCTGAATTCTCCCCCAGAATCGGCTGCAATCCACAACTTCTGAGGCAGCCACAACTGTTTACATGGTCATTCCACGTTCTCCTGACTCAGAAGGATTAGGGATAGAAGATACTACTCATTGTTACTTCCTGTTCTCCTCTTCATGGTGGCCAGCAGATGCCACATGGCTTGTGTCAATCACTTGTCACCTCGAGTGATGATGGCTGGAGCAACAAAATGATTGGAGAAGGAGGGGGGGGTAGAAAAGGGTGACTCATCTTTTCCCCCTCCTCTTTCCTACATCACTCTGGCATCACAGCTACCAACCTTGTAGCGATGAGCAACTGGTACAACCCATGTCACGGATGCCACTATGAGAAGGGAATGACAGTAAACAGCACAAAACCAACTTTGTCACAGCTGAATAGTCACTACTCTCTCCTGCGTTCACAGCAGCTGGGGGTGGGAGGAGGGTTGGTTAAACCATCCTGGGGCAGATCTAGCATTTGCCACAGTGGATTTTCCCCAGAATAAGTGGTTAGTTTAAATCTTCCTGAAGTTTCCAGTGAATCAATGGAACTTACATAAAGGCTGACTAACCAAGTTGCCATTAATTGAATTTCTTTCCTTGGAGCAACAATGACCAAGGTTTAAAATGCTCTGGTTCAATTCAAATATACATATTTAATATGCTGTACACATATCCTATTGTTCTTTTGGACACCCTATTTGTGGAGCAGATTCATTTCAAACTATGTTGTAAGAGATGTGAGCTGTCTTTCTGGTTACTAATAAGACAAATGTTAGAACTTAAGATGATTTATTTGTAGAACAGTTCTTCTAATATCAGTGATGCTTATTGTGTCACAACCATATCTGCACCCAGTGACCCTCTGCTTGTACAAGAACTTGCCACTATATTTGCACCTGTTTAGAAATCGCCTTTATTTCTTATTTCATGATTTCAGACTCTTATGACTCATTGTCAACCGCCAAATGGTTATAACATTATTTTGAAATTAGGTTCTTAAGTGGGTTTTTTAGGTGACTTTGGTGACTATCTTGAACTGTTTTACTTTGTAGCAAAGAAAATCCAGCCTATTGCATTCACATTAAATACAACATCTGAGGGAATATTTGTATCTATGTACTAGGGCTACTATTAACTAATCAAAACCAATAAGTCTAGCATAATTCTGTTTCCCTTGCCTTGATGGTAACCACTAATGGCATAATAGAGATGGAGTAGAATTCATTATAGGAGGTCCCTGGGTCAAATAATGGCATGTTGCATATAGTATGCTCTATAACTTGAATGAG